CGGAGTACGTTCGAGTTTCCGTGCTCTGCCGAACGGAGAGATCTAAATTTTTGAATTCTCCGTTCTGCAGAGCACGGTAACTTGAATGAATTTACAGCTTCCGTGCTCCAGAACACGGGTGCCGTAAATTTTTTTATTTTTTTTTCCGAAATTTTGCTAGATATAATCCTAAACATGTGTTTTTACCTAATTTGGAAATAAAAATAATTAAAAGTACTAGGAAATCGAAAACTTACCGGAATCGAGCCTCGTTTGTACGGTTTGAATGTCGAAATTTTTTACGAAATTCGAATTTCTAGAGAGTGTTTGGGAATAGGAGAGAGAATTGAAAGTTGAAAAAATTAAAATGAAAAAGCTACCGCTGCAAATAAGCCAATTTCAGTAAAAGCCCCGCTGCAAATAGTAACACTCATATACAAAAGGGTAAATTACGGCCACTCTCTGGTGAAATTACGAAACCCTCCATGTTTGGGTAATTACAATCGCCCCTTAACTATCAAATTTCTTACGTGTCCACCATTGCGATGTCAAATTTAGTGAAATCTTCTAAATTATGTGGAATATTCTCAAGTTTTTACCTATTTTACCCCATTCGAGCTCACATTCTGAAACAAATAACCATAAGATATGTCTCTTGGCTTTTATATATCAGATTGTGGTGCATCAGAAAATGTTTTTTTACACAAAACGAGAACAAACTGGAGACATTCCACGGAATCTCGAAGATTCTGTTGAATTCGACACCATAAAAATGAATGTGTAAGAAAATTCATAGTTGTGGAGTAATTTGTAATTACCAAACATGAGGGGTCTTTTCGTAATTTAATCTTACTTTAGGGGTGAAAATTAAGAAAATTAAGAAGGAATTTCTTGTGTTTTAGCTTCTGTTCATTTGAGCAAGAGGACTAAAGCAAACATGCGTGCAATTACGAACCCTTCCTCCCTTATCCACCACCACCCCGCCGTCGCGTCGGCGGTCCTCCGCTCCCTCCGCCACCGTTTCGCCACCTTCTCTCCGACTCTCGTCAAAGTCAAAGCTCAGTCCAATTACACCTCCTGTGCTGAACTCGATAACGCCCGAACGGGTCGATCCGGTTCGCTCGCTGCCCCTCCGGTCCAATTCGACGCTACGCAGAAAATCGATGTCAATCCTCCCAAAGGAACCCGAGATTTCCCTCCCGAAGAAATGCGCCTCCGCAGTTGGCTATTCCACAATTTCAGGGAGGTAAAAAAAGTCCACACTAGCTTGGCTACTTCTGAATTATTGGTTTCTGGTGGTACTTCGTGCTCAGGGATTTGTACCTAGTTTTTTGGTGATTTACTTTGTGATTCATGTTTTCGTTTCAGGTTTCACACTCGTTTGGCTTTGAAGAGGTTGATTTTCCGGTACTGGAGTCAGAGGCACTGTTTATTAGGAAAGCTGGGGAGGAAATTAGGGATCAGGTTTTTCTGATATTTTCTTTGGGCAATCTTGTCGATTATATCTATTGCTTATTTGTTAGTGTTATCTGGGAAATGCAGTGATAGTATCGTTAAAAATTTCGTTCGAATCTAGAATTGAGGGGCGCTTTGATGTTATGTTACTTGGAACAAATTTATTGATGGGTTTTGATCTTGAAGAGTTAAACTCTTAGAGACTGATGTAAAGATGAAATTTATCTTCAACTTGATTTTAAAGTCCGATTGAGCTTTTACTCGGTTAATGCATCTTCCTAATATCCTGCATTTCCAGTCCGCTGTTTTTTTGATAGTTAACAATGTTCGTATTCCACAAAGATGATGAAACTTCATATAATAGTTTTTACCGAGTTAATGTACTTTGTGGTATCCTGCATTTCAAGTAGAACCAGTTGATTTTTAATCACGATATGCATATTGCTTATAGATGTGAAACATCAAATAGAGGGTTCATTTTTTTAATAGAATCCAATACAACCCGGGACTGGAAAAGAACACAGTTGATAGGATTTGCAATGATATAACAGCCAGTTGTATACAAGGATATTTTTCAGGTTACTTATAATATTAATTTTTCTTATATGGATGAAGCTTTACTGTTTTGAGGATCGTGGAAACCGTAGAGTTGCATTAAGGCCGGAACTTACCCCTTCCCTGGCAAGGCTAGTGATACAGAAAGGGTAAGTTCTTATCCGTCAGTTAATACATGTCTCTATATTCAGCGATTTACGGACCATTTTTGCGAATACTGATAGTCCCCGCACATCATTTATAAGTTAATCTACGATTCTTGTATCCAGGTACAGATGCCAGATTTTGATCTCCATGTTTTTTCTTGTCCAGAAAATCTGCATCTCTTCCACTGAAATGGTTTGCTATTGGACAGTGCTGGAGGTATGAACGGATGACTAGGGGACGACGGCGCGAACATTACCAATGGAACATGGATATTATTGGTGTACCTGGTGTTACAGTATGTCAAGAGCATTACGTCTTTTTTTCTTCATTTTATGCTAACTAATTTCGTTTAAGTATGCACATATCTGCACTAAATAGAATTTAGGAGCATCATAGAGCAAATTTTAGTTACTCACTCGTCTTGCCATCACTGATGACAGGTCTGCCTATATGCATTTGCTACACATTCTAGTTTACCTATCAACAGTTCATTTAGTATAATTTGCATGTTCTATATTGTATGATGACTTGATTGAAGAGGAAAAATAATAATTTAGAATTGGTAGTCCGGCCCACCTGAATTCATGTCTTTCGTCTAGTGTTTCTGTGCGTGCAGAGTCTATTTAATGGTCATAAACATATTTACAAGTTTTAAAATTCCGTTTGCCTAAGTTAGAGAAGTATGGTATACATAAATATGCATGTTTTTATGTCGAGTGTTCCTAATGATCTATTTCCGTCCAGGCTGAAGCAGAGCTGATTTCTTCTATCATTACCTTTTTCAAGCGCATTGGAATTACAGCATCTGACGTTGGGTTTAAAGTGTCTAGTCGGAAGGTATATAGGTAGATATTATTCAATATTTACAAAAGAAATCTCTCAAACCATTGAGTTTGATTGTAAATGTCTTCTGGCTTTGTTTGGTCAATTTGTTGATTTCTACTTGAAAGGTATTCCTTGAGCATTAATGAACATATGGTAGTAGCATTAATTAGTTTAAACATTTTTAACCACAAAAGACTTCCACTGATCCTAAATTGCCTTTAATCAATAAGAATAATATATATAGTGTATATTTAATATTTATGTACATACTGAGAAATATTGCATTCTAAATATTCTATAAAAATATTAATATACACACATGTACTCATATATTCCTATTATATATTTTCAATATATAAATGAATAATGAATATAATTATTGGTATGCATATGATAAGTATACAATCATATTAATGATTGTTCTCACACTCTACAGGTTTTGCAAGAAGTACTGAGACGATATTCCGTACCAGAAAATTTATTCGGCAGGGTTTGTGTTATAATAGACAAGGTTAGTTTGATGACAGCGTGCCTATAATACGTGCAAGCATTTGATATGGTTTTTCTCTACATTTCTGCATCATATTTTTGTCAATTCGGGTCTCAACTGTTAACATAGAAGAAAAGGAAGAGCATATTATAAGAACTACATGGCACATGAATTTGACTGTAACACACTCAGAGAGTATATCTTATCTGATGCCAATGGTCCTAGAGCTGTGCTTTTAAGTTGTATTATTGTATCAGGAGATGTGTTCATTATTTCATTTAACCGTCGGAAAATAATGTAATTTTTTGCTTTTCTCAATGCTAAGTTTCTATATGAAATTTTCTCTGGTCGGTCCTTTTTCTTGTCCCTAAATATATATCTTTTTAATTCTAAACAGTTGGAAAAGATTCCCATAGATGATATCAAGAAAGAGTTGATGTCCGCTGAATTGTCAGAAGAGGCGGTTGAAGAACTATTGCAAATTCTTTCAATGAAATCATTGACAGAGTTGGAAGGTTTGTGGTCACATATCTGATTCATGAAGTGATTTTTACTGCATAAATGGTATAGAAAGTTTCAGGTGATGAAATTTGGTCATTTCATTTTCGGGCTGTCCGAAAAAAATTGGATATTGAGTTAGGAACTTACACTCAATGCTGGCAGTGCAGTAGCTGCGCAGGCCAGTGTAATAATTTGTACTGCTATGTGACGAATCACTTCTTTAATATCTAGGAATCAGTCTTCTTATCTTATTATGGTTGTGCATGTCACCATTTTTAAAGGTTTGGACTAGTGACAAATTACGGGAGAAAAATTAAAATTACGCAAAAACTTCGTTGTCAAGTTTAGAACTGAAACCGGAAATAGTCTTTTCAAAATGGAGGTGAGACTGTGAAGCACAGTAGAGTAGGCATACTAATTTTATTTGGCAATTAGAAAGTGTGAATTTCAACTTCTGGTGAGCTTATATACACTTAATGGAGGGGAGAAGATGAGTGGAAAACTTAAATGTGAGAATCTTCATTTACGTAATTATATCTAAGCTTTAGAAGTCAAATTATCATTTTGTTGATATGTGGTGTGTGCAAAATAGGTTTCAAATCCTTGAGTTAGTTTCTAACGAATTCTAATTTTCTTATCAACAATTACAGAGAAACTTGGAGATTCAGTAGAAGCACTTGAAGACTTGAAGAAACTATTCTCACTTGCTGAAAAGTACGGTTACTCTGAGTGGATCCAGTTTGATGCATCCATTGTACGTGGCTTAGCCTATTACACTGGAATTGTTTTTGAGGTAATTTTGTTTCATCTTCTTTATATATATACGAAGACTCGTTTTGTTTCAATTAATTACCATGGTTCTCTTTTTCAGGGATTTGATCGAGAAGGGAAACTGAGAGCTATTTGTGGCGGTGGAAGATATGACAGATTACTCTCTACTTTCGGAGGTGATGATATCCCAGCTTGTGGCTTTGGATTTGGTGACGCTGTTATTATAGAAGTGAGTGCAATTTATTCCATCTTTTTTTCTTCAATTAACCCTTTTTCCGAAAATAAATCTCTCATTTCTTTTCTTGAAAATTTGTCGAGTAGCTGCTAAAGGAGAGAGGACTTCTACCGGAACTTAGCCCTCAAATAGAAAACATCGTCTGCTCATTGGATCAGGACCTGCAAGGTGTAGCATCTTTAGTTGCTTCAAGGCTTAGAGAAAAGGGTCAAAGTGTTGACTTGGTTCTTGAAAATAAACCACTTAAATGGTAAAACTTATTTTCATTATATTATACAATTTTTTTGACACACAAGTGTTATTATTGCATATCGTAAAACCGTTAATTATATTACAGGGTGTTTAAAAGGGCAGCACGAATAAACGCGCAGAAACTGGTAATAGTGGGAAGCGCAGAGTGGCAAAAAGGTATGGTTCGTGTCAAAATTCTTTCGTCTGGTGAACAATATGAGATTAAAGTTGATGAACTTGAATAATAGTTTCGTATGATTTACTCGATATATGACATACCTTAATTTATGACCTCCCAATTTTATTCTATTTACGTTTTTTTTTGTAGTATTCGTGTAGAAGTATTATTTGTTTTCTAGCTGTATATTTAGCCATGGCAGTTTATAGACGGGGTTTACTAAATTCGATTTAGCATGGAATAAACCGTTTATTTTCGTTACGATTAATTTAAATTCCGCCATTAAATAATCTTGCTATATTAGTATTTGACATTTCTGCAAGTTCTTAATCATATATGCATGCACGAAGTAGTAGTAGCCTAGTAGATATGCTCTATTTGACCAGCAAAAAAATAAAATTAAATGTTATTTACGATTATGACCTCTGACTTTTTATTTTATTTTTACTTCTCATAGTTGTGTTACACTTTAAACCCTCCATTAAGAAAAAAATGCCATTATGCCACTACAAGTTACTTGTCGATGTAAACGTCAACGGGAAAAAGGAAAAAAAAAATTACCGATCGCATGTTAAGTTGGGATCATGTTATAACGAGTGAGACACATTGGATAGATCTTTATTGTTCGTCTACACACAAAATAAAATTGTATATAAAGTTGTGTTGGAATGTGTAAATTAACGGTAAAAGAAAATTTGTTTTGTCGATCGTATGTAAAGTTGGGATCCATGTTATAACGAGTGAAACACACTGAATAATAAATAGATCTTTATTATTCGTATGCACAAGAATGTGTAAATTAATGGTAAAATAAAATCTTATAATATATGTTGCAAAATATAATGTACCACTAGATAAAATATCTACACTACAGCCAAAAAGGGCAAGATGGTAATTTACATAGAAGAACCTTTATGTGTCAACGTTCCTGATTGGCGGCGGAGGAAAAGGAAGCTAGTCTTAATTATTGGATTCATTCCAAGACAAATTTCTGAAATTAGCTGAGAGACCCCTGTAAAATTCCAAAATTTTGGGAAGTACCCACAAACTTCCTTTTATTATTATGTGGCACCCATTTGTATTCTTAAGTATAAATTATAATTGACAATCAGACCAAGTTACTTGACAATTGATACAAAAATAATTATTAAAAGTTTCTTCAATATGAGATGATGTTAGATTTTAGTTTAACTCTACGAATTAAAATATTAAAAAATGTATGATATTTTTTTTTGAATAAAAAAAATATATTTGAACTCAAATTTGTAAAAAAAATGTATAATATTATATTCAATAAATTTGAATAATTATATATTTTTTTTGAACTCAATTTTGTTTTACGCGTTCCCCATTAAGAGAAAAATGTAATTATTTTTACAGTATAGATATTATTAGTATTTATTTATTTTTCAAATATTTTCAATCTGTCTAATTGCATATTTATATTCTTCATTTCTCCACGAGAAATATTATATAGCGGTCTTCGATTTACAAACGAAAAGCTAGAGATATCTAATTCTAAATACTCACAACTAATGTATTCAAGTAGTTATTCGAAATTAAAATTTCATTTTTTTTATTTATATCCAAATCTGTGACAATAAAATAAAGTGGAGAATCACTCTCATAGCTCAAGAGCACAAAAGGGAAATTTACACAGGGGAAATTCTAATTTTACAAAAAATATGGGGCTCAACTGCAATTACATACAGCTCGAGGGGTGTGTACTTGTTCCACTTCCTCCACCACAATCAGCATTATATAAAACATAAAAAGTTGGTGAAAAAATTTAAAAAAAAAAAAAGAAAGAAAAAAAAGAAAAAAAGAAAAGCACTAACCCAAATGGGGAAGGCTTTGAAAAGTGGGAAAATATTAAATAAATAAAATAAAATAAGATAAATGCTCCCAGATGAAAATGACGCCCATCTTGGAAGGATCTGAATATCACGTCTCTCTAATTGTTAAAAAAATCATTAAAGAAAGAATCTTTAGCCCCCATTAATGGGGCCCCTTGAAGTTTGTGCTCAGAACAGAGTTTTTGTAACTTGTTGAACACACACAGAGAGAGAGAGAGAGAGATTTCTTGATGAATCAAATCATATAATACTCAGTATATGGTGGTTCATATACTAATCTCTTTGTTTGTTGATATTATTAGTATCTGGGGTTTTCTTGAAATTTAATTTTTCCCCCATTTTTGGAAGCTTATGTGAAAAGGGTTTATAGGGTTTTGTATTTACAGTGGTTTTTCTTGATTTTTATTTTTTTAATTTAATAAAAAAAATTATGGGTTTTGAGTGTTTGAGGTGTTGGTTATGGTTATGGTGATTTATGGGTAGCACAACCATCAAATTTGGTGGAGAGGGTAATAATAGAAGTGGGATGCCAAGCTTCATTTCTCAGACACCACCACCTGCAACAAATCATCCTATGTAATAATTATTTTTTTCTCTAACATCTGTTTATGTTTTTTTTTTTTTTGGTAATTATCTGAAATAATATTGAGAGTTGTCACTATGAATCCTTGCCTTTAATTTGTCTCGTAATTGATCGATATGGTTCGAACCGCAAGTTTCGATCGCCGTTTTTCGATTGAGAAACTATGTAATTGTGTTGCTAATCTATGTAGTTATAAAGAATGGAATGATTCAAGAAAGTGGTTAGGAAGTAATTACTATAGTGGTTGTTACTCAATTATTATTCGCCTCGTTTAATCTAGTTCACCTAAAACCGATAATGAAGTAGTTAGTGTTGTCGAAATTTGTTTTTCGATTGCTCGTTTTTTTTTTCTTATGGGAATTAAAACTTTTGGATTTGTAGGGGTACGGAAGCAAATGCAATACAATCTTCTCGAGTTGCTGATTATGGGGTTCTTGAGCAATATCTCGGTTTTCGAATGGGAGATCCTTCTAATATAATCAACCGGGGCAAGTCTTCTAACTCTTCGTTACGGGTTATATCTATTGTCATTTTTCTTGAGATAATAAGTGATTATGATTAATCTAGTTTATCTGAAAAAGTTGGTCCGATTGTGATACAGGTCCGGTGTTTAATCCGACGGTGAATAGCCAAATAGTGGGCCCCGATCCTCAGTCCAGCGCGTTCAATAAGGTAACCGAATAACCGCCGCTTCTCATGTAACATTTGATTTTTTTTTATAATTTTTAATTTTATTTCCAATTGTTGTTAGTTTGTGACATTTTTCGCCTACTTGTAGCCTATTGGTTCGACCAATCCGAATTTTTCGACGTTCCAATTGCAAAAGGGAACACCACAGCCTAATCTAGTTTCTTCATCGGGTGTTCGACAAGAGAACTGGGGAGAATCCAACGTGGCGGAATCCAGTTCGCGCACCGATACTTCAACTGATTTGGACACAGATGACAAAAATCAAAAGGTAATTATTTGTTTATTTATTTATTTTTTAAAAAATCGTTTTTTGAAGGTTGATTCGTTGGTTATGCAGTTTGAAACGGGCCAATCGAGTGATAAATCAAAAGAAAAAGCACCGGACCAAAAGGTTGCACCTTTATCAATGCACTTAATTTCCTAATTCATATTTTATTGTTATTAATTTTTTTTTTTGGTATGAAATTTCAGATGCTGCGAAGGCTTGCTCAAAACCGTGAAGCTGCTCGGAAAAGCAGACTGAGGAAGAAAGTCGGTTTCCGTTTCACCTTTTATATTCAATTTCGAGCTCTATCTTTTTTATGATCTTTTTATTAAGCACGAGTGTATATAATGTGGTATATAATTCTCACATTGTTTCGTATTTACCTTTTTTTTTTTCAGGCCTATGTACAGCAGCTAGAGAATAGCCGACTCAAGCTGACTCAGCTCGAGCAGGAACTGCAACGAGCACGCCAGCAAGGCGTCTATGTGTCAAGCATAGGAGATCAATCTCACTCCGCGAGTGCCAACGGTTCGATTTCTTTTAACTGCCTAATCTTCCTTTCTTTAATGTATCTCATATAGGGCTGGAAATTTGGATTGGAATTTCCGATTTCCGTCTATTCTAATCCGAATTTTTCTGATTTTGGAACAATAGTTTTTATTCCGAATTTTCCAGCTCCGATCTTTCCCAATTTTATTTTTTGGATCGGAACTGGAATATATACGACATTCCGATTTTCGATCCGGTCTTAATTTTCAAAAATTCCAAAAAAAAAAAAAATCTTCCGAAAGTTACACTTATAATATCAATATTAGTACGTATTTCATATTATAGATGAATAAAAAATTGGAATTTCCGAATGCCGCTGATTCTGGTTCAATTTTTTTTTTTGGAACAAGTTTTTTCATTCCCGATTTTTCGGAATTTTTTTGGAACTGGAATTGGAATTAGTTTTTCACTTTCGAAATAAATTGGTTTTTTTTTTTTGTTTTTTCCTGAAAGTGCTAATTCCGACCTGATCCGTATGATTTCCGACTTTCTTTTGAAACATGATTAGAATGCATATTAGATTTTGCTTTTTCGATCCAACTTTCGTCAATGTTTTTTGCTAGAATTATTTTTGAATATGAATTGTATATTGTGGTGCAGGGGCATTGGCTTTTGATGTGGAATACGGGAGGTGGATGGAAGAGCAGAACAGACAAATAAACGAGCTGAGGGCAGCGGTAAACTCACACGCGGGTGACACAGAACTCCGTTCGGTTGTGGAAACCGTGACAGCTCATTTCAACGACATTTTCAGGCTGAAAGGTAACGCAGCCAAAGCCGATGCATTCCACATGTTATCGGGAATGTGGAAAACACCCGCTGAAAGGTGTTTTATGTGGATCGGTGGTTTTCGCCCATCGGAACTTCTCAAGGTGATAAATTCAATTTCAATTCAATTGAGTTAAATTTGATTTTAGGTCAAGTTTCATTTATGAATTATTTCTCGAATATGCAAAGATTTTAGGTCAACTTTTTTTTTTGTAAAAATGTGTTCTTGCTTTATGTATAAATTACTTTACATAATAATTTCATTGAAGAAACTTTATTTAGAAATTCTATTAAATAAAATATCGGGAAAAAAACAATTGATAATAAATAATATAATAATGCAGCTTCTCGTAAACCAACTGGAGCCACTTACGGAGCATCAAGTGACGGGGATGTATAATTTACGGGAATCGTCACAGCAAGCAGAGGATGCACTTTCACAAGGTATGGATGCATTACAGCAATCTTTGGCTGAAACATTAGCCAGTGGTTCTGTGGGCCCCACCGAAGGTCCGTCTGGCAATGTGGCTAATTATATGGGACAGATGGCTATGGCTATGGGCAAGTTGGGTACTCTTGAAGGTTTTCTACGACAGGTGATTTTATCTCTTGTTCGTATTGTTTTCGATTTCTTGTGTAGTTTTAAAATGTTTCGATTCAGGGTTGAAAACCGGAATAGAAATTTTGGATTCCTACGATTCAGATTAAAAAAATTGATTTTTGAAGCCTATTCTCTTTTTTTTGGGTTTCCGAATTTTTCGGAAAAAATGGAGTTATATATGAAATTCCGATTTTTTATCTGATTTAATTTTCGAAAAATGAAAATCGGACTTTTTTTTCAAAAATTACATCTGTAATATTAATATTGTTATATTATACTCGAAAATGGGAATTTTGAATTCCGTCGATTCGGATTCGAAAATTTTCGAATTAGAAATTATTATTTGTTTGAGGCTCTGAAATTTCGATTAGGGGTGTAATGGAACACATTTTTCAAATTCTACCAATTCAGATCCGAAATTTTTCGAATTTGCTGTACGTTTTCACATATTCCGATTTCTCGGTTTCGATCCTTATTTAATTTTCAAAAACATTTCTGAAAAAATCATTTTCCTAATATTACATAGATACATGATTAATATTTCTATATTATATCATTATCTATTTTATAATATGATCGAAAATCAAAACGGAATTTCCGAACCAGTTTCCAATCCAAAAATGTTCGACTACGTACTAATTATTACCATTCCAATCTCCAAATAAATTGTTTCTTATTTCTCTCTCTTTTTTTTAGGAAATTAACTTTTTTTCCCTCCAAAAACAATAATTCGAATGCGATGAGTCCTATTTGTACTGATTTTATTTTTGTTTACTATATATAGGCTGACAACCTTCGGCAACAAACGCTACAACAAATGCACCGAATACTAACAACCCGACAATCAGCCCGTGCGCTGCTCTTGATAAACGACTACTTCTCCAGGCTCCGAGCCCTCAGTTCCCTTTGGCTTGCTCGTCCACGAGAATGATTTTATATACGCAAAATCATCAATTTCCACGACAATTATATATTTTATCGTTTTGTAAAATATTTTCACTTACGAATTCTTTGCTATGATCAATAATGTGATTGTGATTGTGTTTGTATTTGCTAGAGCAATATTTATATTTATATTTATATTTATATTTATATAGGAGGGATTAGTTTACCTTAGTTGTAGATTTTTTATCTTTTTTAAATTATGTAAATGTTAAATCAGAATGATATAAGACTTTGGTAAAAGGTAAGGAAATATATTTTCAGCTACTTTATGTTTTCATTTATTTATTTTTTAGTTTTGCATGATTTGATTTAATTATTAGAAAATTGAATCTTGAGGTATTATAGACAATAATTCGATCTTTTTTATTAGAAAAATAGTATGTATTTTATATATACATTTGTGTATGTGTACATGTATGAATTATTTAGTTTTTTTTGCACACACTTTGACACACACACACACAATAATTACAAAGTTGTCACTCATCAGGAAATTATAGAAATGCAACTCAACAATAAGAACATAGCTGCCACTAATTAAGTATTTACAGAAGTGTCACTCATCAAGTAATTAAATAACAGTTATTCAACAGTAATTATAAAACCGCCACCCACCAAGTAATTACAGACTAGTTGCACTCAGACGTAGTTGCACTCAGACGTGGGTGTGATGTGATTACTTCGAGTTGCATGTCTTCTGAAGGTAAGTTGTCCTATTCTGTGCGAGTTGGGTTAGTTCAAACGAGGGGGGCTCGGGGATATTATCGCCTCCTTTTATATATCAAGTGGGCCTTTTCCCCACTGCAGGTTTTCCGCCTTTCTCTAGTCGTATCTGAAATGTGGTTACATCCATTCTCTGTCTATACCACGTAGGAGGGGCTTTGTGGAAAAGTTGGCCCTCATGAAGTGGGTCTGGGCTGCCTTTTCGGCTTTGTTGTAGGATTTCGATTATTTAGACCTTTGGGGCAATCCCGCCCATATCCATCGTATTAATAAAATGAACTCAAACTAATTTTACTCGATCAATCTCGAATCGAATATCGAGTATGTTAGTTTGATCTTTAACCCTAAATCCCTTGTGCATAAAAAATTAAGCATCAACTGTATAAACCTGGCTTATAATTGTGCAAATATAAAGCCCAATAATTATCAATTTATATATTGAAATTGATTAGCCCCAATTTGAAGTGAGCCCAATAAAAGCCCATATATAAATAATCCTGTTCTTTTGGAAGCAAAATACAATAAAAATTAATTAATAAAAAAAGAAAAAGAGAACCCCTGCCTCACCGCCGCCGGCGTCCTCCGCTTCAGGTAATTCTCTGAAATTCATTTCTCCGATCGGGATTCCACCGCTACCTCTGTGGATTCCGCATGACCATTAGATATATCTTCGCTATCAGACGACTGTTAACAGTCGGCGAGGTCGAATATCAGCACGGTGGTTTTAGGTCGGCGCGTGTCGCTACTGACCGCCGATTTATGTGACCTCCGATTACATTCAACGAAACTCAACTAGTTACATCATGCTTCATTTTTTTCATCTAGATGCTTAATCAATTCTTCAATTCTGTGTGGAAAACAATAAAAAATTGTCTCCGAATTTAGTTAGGGTTTAACTAATTGATGAATGTGACTGTGATCTTACCCGTAATTATGAATGTTTTTGTTTTTGTTTTCATTTTCCAATTAATAGTGCAGAATTTTTGATCAGTTCTTGTAGCAAGTTCAGTGTAAATTGATACTCAAGTTCAATGAAATCGTAATATTTATCTGGCATCAAATCGCAATTTTAAATCTCGATGTATAATTTGATATGCGCCGAGTCCTTAAAACTTCACCAACATTTATTGATCTGTTTGTTCACAGGATATGAATTTCCATTTGTAAAGAGAAAATGCCGCACAAAACTCGACCGATGGCTGCACTTCTGGTTTTTACTGGATTGAATGCTGTTTTGGTTTCAACCATTACCCCCGTTTATGATTTCGTGTGCTTCCTTCCGTACTGGGAAAGAAGGGTATGATTCTCAATTCTCGTAGTTGCTGCACTTTTGCCATTGCAATAGAATAATCAATTCGAGAATGGAAAGGAGTCAAATTATCTTTCTTGATGGCGGAAATTCTGCGTCGCTTTACTGGCGTCTTGTTTATTCATTCGGTTCTGTATTTGACACAGTATATGATGATGCACGTGGAATTTTTCTGTAGAATTTTCTGTTAAATAGGCGGGGATTTTTCTGATTGGCTGAAAACTAAAGTTTGATTAGTATTTAACTGTGTCTTGTGCTCTACTCCACATGTTCTTTTATGTAGACATAATAAAGAAAACGACTTTTAATTGCATGCTGTATCTTTCTATGGCAATGTGCAGTGTCGTTAGTAAATTATAAATAGCATCTACTGTGCCGTTTTATTGCCATATAGTTCGCATTGTCTTCTTTCTATTTTTTTTTAATCTATTTTAACTCGCTGGTAATGGATTTACAGAGAGAACGTCTACGTAAGGAACGTGAAGCTGCCTCTACCAAAGATTTCGCATCGTCGTAAAATCACAAAATCAGGGTTTGTCACACTTTTTGATTTTGTTCGAATTTTTTTACCGTAATCTTATGTGTACACATAGATGTGAAAAATATATGTTATAATTAGCAAAAACTCTCTGGATAATTTGACAACTGTTTTGGAAAGAAATCTCGAGACTTGTCAATGCATTGTAGAGGATGATTGTAATTCTAAGAAGCTAAGGCCTCGTTTGGTCGGTAAATTTTGGACCTCATAAAATGTGCTATAATCTTGATTATTCCCCGATCTTGGTAACCAAACGAGGCCTAAATAAATAATTTCCAGGAAATGTTTTAAGTGACTTTCGGATACTTCATTTTGTATTATTACCATTGATATCTTGTATGGTAGGGTTTCTCCACTCTTGAGTAACCTGCTGCGATCGCTTTTCGAATGTCGATGTTTGTGTATTCTATTATTCGATACGGGTTGTTAGCTAGAGCTATCGATTACTAATTTGCACTTTTTTGGATTATTTTTATTTTGTAATCGATATCAAAAATTTGTCATTATAAGTTAGGGCTTGTGAATTATCTGCGTCGTTATTCGATTGTCTCCTCTAAGTTGAGTCACTGTCATAAAAGGTCCCCATTGAAATTTGCCAGAGTTTTTGTGGGTTGAAAATGATATTCCTATTGAGTAGAGGGGTGTGTGATGTGGATTGCATAATATGCAATAAAGTGAACCATGGGCCTTTGTGTTTTTTCTTCTAGTTTTTATGAAATACAGTATTAATCAATGATGAAAGCTGTTGCAAACTGTATAATATTTCTGCTCAATTCCTTTTTTTTTTTTTTAATTATTATTATTATTATTCTATTATGCTGAATTTTATTGAAATTTGCAACTTTTTTAATTTGCTATTTTTTGGCGGTAATTTGTTCTTGTGAAATGAGTAACACGTTTTTTTAATTTTGGGGATTTTCGAAATTGTAATTAATAAATTAAAATAGTCATATTTGGGAAGGTTTGTTTTAAATATTTTTATTAGTTCGGTTTGAGAATTAAGAGAGTTCGTACCTAGTTTCTACGGATGGATACTGGATTAGATGTTTAGGGTCCGAATTCTGCTCCCTTCACGCAAGTTACGATACCAAATATCAAACAAAGTTTTATTATTTAATTTATAATGGCTAATTTTTCCAACCAAATAAGGTCTCTAGGTATTTTATTGGGGACGAAGGAGCAACGAAAATTAGATTATTGTCAAAATTTAATATTTTAATTACACTTTAATTAGATTTTTGTTTTAACAGTGGACCCCACTTTGGAAGAGGCATTAGTGTTTGCAATTAAAGCTTCACCTGAAGTGTTTTCGTGTCTCACTAATCATACAAATTTAGCAGTCTAATCAGAAATGGGCGCACCCGAGGGTTTGCTTC